TATATTGCACTCGTGCCTGTTAGATAAACTTGAATAAGTGAAGAAAGATGACATTCACAGCAAGACGTGTCTTATCAATCTGTTTATTGTAAGACATTTGTGTAAAGAATGTCTTCTAATAAGCACATCTATAAAATATATTTTCTGTTTATTTCAAGAGATACATCCATAAATTCTCTGGATGTACTAGTCACCCATCCTTTAATCTTGAATTCCCAAACCTTACCCAGCCAGTGAATCCATTAGCACTCTCCATTAGTCCCTGCCAAAGACTTATGCTTCCAGTCACAGATTCTTCCTAACAATGGGTATCGTATATTTTCCTCAAAGTTCTGCCCACCGAGAAGTTCACTGTTTAACATTGTTTTTCAAAACCAACCCTGGATAAGGCTATTTTTCAGCAGCCATTTAATTCTGGATGATGCCAGTTTAACATACAGACTCAGCTGCAAACCCAGGCCATATTTTTTTTTCTTCTGTTGACAGTCATAGTGGACACCCCATGAGGTCATATCAGTGTTATGAGAGAGACATGGTAGAACAGCATGAGTAGGTATTATGGTAGACTGAGCCACCTGTTCCAGTAATTTATTTGCATCTTTTCAGACTTGTTTGGATCTAGTTTGTATATGCCATTTCTATTTATAGATGGAATGCTGTTGTGCATGCATCAGATAATACTCAATCTATGATTGATAGCTAAGTTCAGAGACATTTTTCCCATGGCCAGACATTCATGATTTTTCAAATAGTCACTATAAATCTTGAAATAATTCTATTTAACATTATTAGACATGGCCAATTACTAAGTAATAAGAAAATTACCTGCATGTATCATTTCCACATCCAAACTCTGTCTACCACAATCACATAGCTATAGGTTGGACTTCTCTAAACCCACAGTTATGTTGACATATAGATTTCACTATAATCAAGTTTCTGTAAATTTATTTTTTAAAAAATGGAAAACAAAAGCAATATGATTCCTGCTTTATAGAATACTTTTTATAATATGCCAGCTCCAGTTTAAAGTCAACCTCTTAAAGGCTCCTCTGGTGAAGTTTTTGTTTTTGTTTTAATTTTTTGTTATTTAGCCCTATGTAATGTAGACTTCAAAGCCAGGGTTAAGAATGAAAAAAATAAAAATCATTATAGTTGATAGAACATTGACTTTAATGTTCTATCTGTCAGAACCATAAAGACAAATAGATAATAATAGATGATAGATTAATCTACAGGCATACTTTAACTTATTGTACTATATAACTCTTTCCAAATATTACATTTTTTACAAATTGAAGATTTGTGAAAACCCTGAATGGAACAAATCTACTGGTGTCATTTTTCCAACAGCAAGTACTGATTTTATTTTTCTGTGTCATATTTTGCTAATCCTCACAAAATAACTTTTTGATCCTTTGTCTCTTGCATTTTAAACATGTTGTATTGTGTACTTTCAAAATACTCCCATGGGGAAAATATAATTCTCTATTTTTTACAGAAAGGTAAAATAGGGCTAAAAGGCAACTTTTTTATGGAATTGAGGACTTGAACTTAGGTCTTTCTATAGAGTGGTGCAAATGTTATTGTAGGTTTTGCCATTGAAGGTAATGGCCAAGGCTGTAGGGGTGGCTCACTCCTGTAATCCCAGCACTTTGGGAGGCTGAGGCAGGTGGATCCTCTAAGTTCAGTAGTTTGAAACCAGCCTGACCAATATGGTGAAACCCTGTCTCTACTAAGAATACAAAAATTAGCCAGGCATGGTGGTGTGTGCCTGTAATCCCAGCTGCTTGGGAGGCTGAGGTAGGAGAATTGCTTGAACCTGAGAGGCAGATGTTGTAGTGAGCCAAGATCACACCTCTGCATTCCAGCCTAGGAAGCAGAGCTACACTCCATCTCAAAACAAACAACAGAAGAAGTAATGGACAAAACTGAAATAACTTCTGCACCATCCTAATAACTGTAAAGACCATATTATTTTTACAGTGGTATAATTGACATATATTGCATTTATTTAAAATGTTCCATTTGTTAAGCTTTGACATATGCTGCACATATGAAAGCATCACAATAGATCCTGAACATCCACGTCACTTTCGAAATGATTCTCCTTCCCCTTTGTAATCCCTTCCTTTCCATTTCAACCTCGTATTACCAACCATTCCTCTAGTTTCTAACACTACATTTATGTCTCCTAAAATTTTATGTACATGGAGTAGTGCAACATGTACATTTTGTCTGATGTGTTTAATTCACAAGAATTATTTTAAGATTAATCCAGGCTGTAGCAGGTATCAAGAGTTCATTTATTCTTATAAATTGTATTTCATCATATTTTTTCTTGCCTTATTGTACTGGTTAGATGCTTTAGGATAATACTAAATACATGGATGAGATTGGGTATGCTTCCTTTCTCTTAATATTAAAATCATATGATATTTCAACATTAAGCATAATTTATAGATATCCTTTCTAAAATTGAGGAAGTTTGCCTTCTTTCCCAATTTGCTGATAATTTGTATCAGAAATACATGTTAGATTTTTCAACATGCATTTTAGAGCCCATTGAGATAATTATACTATTTTCTTTTTTAAGTTGATGATATGAACAATTACATTAATTATCATTTTAAGGCTAAAATAAATTTTTATTTCTGGGTTAAACCCCAGTTGGTCCTGATACATAGTCATTTTTACATATTTCTGATTTCTATTTGCAAAAATTTTGTTTTGCTTTTTTTTTTTTTTTTTTTGCATCTGGAGATATACTGATCTCTTGTGTTGTTACCTTGTAATTTCTTTATTTAGTTATAGTACAAAGGAGTGCTAGTTTTGTAGTGTGAGTTATGAAATATTCCAATTTTTTTGTAATTTTCTGTAAGTTTTTAAAAGTAATTTATATTTTTTGTTTCTGAAAATTGGTAGTTGTCACAAGTGTAACGTACTGAGGGTGGAATTTTTATTATGAAAAAGTTTTTAATGAAGTATTTTAAATAGATACAGTATTATTGGGATCTCTCCTTACCATCATTCTTGTTTTGTGGAATTTGATAGTATGATTCTTATAAAAAATTTACGTATTTCATGTATGCTATTGAATTTTTTGACATAATGATGTTGAAAAATATCATAGTATTCTTTCATACTTGTAAAACTTACAGTAATATCACTCTATTACTCTTGATATCGTCAATTTGAATTTACTCTCTTTTTGCTCAGATTGGTCTGACTAGAAGAAATTAATGAATTCATATTTTCACAATACCAGATTTTGGTTTCATTTATTTTCTCTATTGTTTTTGTCTTTTCTATATCATTAATTTGTGACCTTACTTATGCTATTTTCTTTCATCAACTTAACTGGTATGTTGTTCACCACAGATTTTCCATCTGTCTGTTCTAACAATCATTGAAGACACTGAAATCTCAAGAAATTGTGAACTTTTCTGTTTCTTTTTTAGTTCTATTGATTTGGTCTTCATATACGTTTCAGCTCTCAGTTCATAAGCATTTAGGATTCCAACGTCCTCCTTAAAAATGGCCCTGCTTTTCATTATGAGTGTGTTGCTCTGTGTCTGGTAATTTTGTTCACCTCATAATATATTCCATTGAATATCTGAAATGGGAAATTTAGCTTTCTTTTGATTAGGAGTAGCATTCTGCTCCTTTTCTATTGTTTCACATTAACCAACTTTTACATTTATAATTGAAGTGTGTTTCTCCTGGTAGCATATGTTTTGTCCTCCCTTATTTTAAAATCTAATCTATAAATGTCTGTATTTTACCGGGGTGGTTAGACAATTTACATTTAATGTGATTATTGCTTTGGTTAGGTTTAAATCTATAATCTTGTTCACTAGTTTCTTTTTGCTCCTTTCCTTCCTTTATTTGGTATGCTTCCATGTGTTATATCTGTTCATTTTCTTGGCTTTCAAGTTACTTGTAGTGTGAAATAACGAACTTATCACAGCCTAATGTGGTTACTTTTTGTCTTGAGGCACCCATCCTTTTTTCAATTTTAACAGTTTTTTTGGATACTGTATGTTTGTGCATCTTTATGTGGTACATGTAACATTTTCTCATGTGCACAGAATGTGTATTGATCAAGTTAGAGTACTTAAAGTGTCCATGACCTGACTATTTATCATTTCTATGTGTTAGGTGCATTTCAAGTCCTCTCTTGTAGTACTTTTGAAATATACAGTACACTATTGTTAACTATAATCCGCTTACTCCATTATCAAACGTTAGAACTTATTCCTTCTGTCTAACTGTATGTTTGTACCCATTTACCAATTTGTCTTGACCGTCCCCCTCACTCCCCGCCAGGCACACACACTTCACACACTTTCCAGTGTGTGGTATCTATCATTCCACTCTCCATCTCCATGTGGCCAACTTATATAGCTCCCATATAAAAGTGAAAACATGCAATATTTTTCTGTGTCTGTCTTTGTTCACTTAACATAAGGACCTCCAGTTCTATCCATGTTGCTGCAAATGATATGATTTTATTATTTTTTATGGCCAAATCATATTTCAGTGTGTATATACCCTATGTTTTATTTATCCATTCATCTGTGGATGGACACTTTAGTAGACTGATTTCATATCCTTATTATTGTGAATAGTGCTGTAATAAATATGATAGGTTCAGGTATTCCTGTGATATATTGATTTATTCCCCTTTGGATAAACACCAGTTGCAGGATTGCTGGATCATATGGTAGTCTTTTTAGTTTTTTGAGAAATCTCCATACTGATTTCCACAGTGGCTGTACTGATCTACATTCCCACCAACAGAACATAAGCATTCTCTTTTCTCTGTATCTTCACCAACATTTGTATTTTTTTGTCTTTTTAATAATAGCTACTCTAAATAAGGTAGAATGATATCTCACTATGGTTTCATTTGCATCACACTGATAATTAATGATGGTAAGCATTTTTTTCACATACCTGTTTGGCCATTTGTATGTCTTTTTTGTTTGTTTGTTTTTAATGGTGCAAGTCACTGGCAGTCTTGTCAGGAGAACACCTGCATGAAAGAAGACACACAAATTCAGTTTTATTCATTTTCTTTGCCCTTGTTTTAATGAGATTATTTGTTTGTTTGTTTTCTGTTGAGTTGAATTCTTCGTATATTCTGGATATTAGTTCCTGTTAAATAGTAGTATACAAATATATTTTTCCCATTCACCAGCTTGTCTCTTCACTCTGTTGACTATTTTAGTGTGTAGAAGAATTTTAGTTAAATATAATACCATTTGCCCACTGTTGGTTTTGTTTTCGATTCTATGTGGTCTTAGCCAAAAAATATTTGCCTAGACCAATGTCCTAAAGAGTTTTACCTGGTTACTTTTAGTAGTTTTATAGTTTTGGGACAAAATTTAAGTCTTTAATCCATTTTGATTTGCTTTTTGTATATGGTGAAAGACAGGCTTTCACTTCCATTTTTCTACAAATGTTTTCCTTTGCACCAGTTATTGAAGAGGATGTCCTGTCCCCAATGGCTGTGTTGAAAATCAATTGGCCATAAATATGTGAATTATTTCTGACAGCCTAATTTTAAATACTATTTTGCCACTTTACATAAAATATAAAAACAATAGTATAATTTTATGTCTTGATATTGTGATACTATGAATATACATTTTACTTTTCTATATGTTCTCTTCTATGTGTTATAAACCCTGTTGTACTTTTTAATTTTGCTTGAGCATTCAATTACTTTTAAAAATACCTAAAGTAAGCCAGGAGTGGTGGCTAAAGCCTGTAATCTCAGCACTCTGAGAAGTGGAGGCAGGCAAATCACCTGAGGTCAGCAGTTCAAGACCAGCCTGGCCAACATGGTGAAACCCCATCTTGACTACAAATACAAAAATTACCTGCGCATGGTAGCACATGCCTGAGTAGCACAGCTATGCAGGAGGTTGAGGCAGGAGAATCACTTGAACCTGAGAGGCAGTGAGCAGAGATCATAACACTGAACTCTAGCCTGGGCAACAGATCGAGACTCCATCTCAAAACAATAAAAATAAAAATAAATACCTAAAGTGATTAAAAAAAAACTTTCATATTTACATATGTATTTGTCATATGCAGTGTTTTTATTGATTTTGATAGATCTACATTTATTTTGCTACCACTTTTTTTGACTCTCTGAAGAACTTCCTTTAACACTTTTTTTATGTGCTTCTCTTTGTGATGAATTATTTTATTTATGCAGATATTTATTTTGACTTTATTTTGAAAATACATATAAAGTCCCAGGTTGATTTTTTTTCTTCCAGTACTTTAAAGGTATACACTCTTGTCTTTTCATTTACATTGTTTCCAACAAAAAATGTGCTGTCTATCTTATATTATCCCACTGTATGAAACAGGTCTTGTTACTCTGTTTATTATTAATATTATTTTCTTTATTACTAATTTGGAGCAAGTTAATTGGAATGCTCTTTGCTGCAGGTTTCTTCATGCTTCTAGTATTTAAGTTTTATTATACATCTTGAATATATAGTTTACTACTTCTCATCAAATTTAGACAAATATGGCCCCTGACAATTTCACATATTTTCACTGTAACCTATCATCATTTCTCTCCCTCAGGAGCTCAAATTATAATTACCTTGGATTTCTTAAAGTTGTCACACAGTTCAGCAGTGTTTCTTTCATTTGTTTTTTCACTCTTCTCTTTTTGTTTCAGTTAAGAGAGGTTTCATTTTTTCCTTTAAATTCACTAATTTTTTTCTTCTGTGATATCTATTTAACTGCTGATCTCACCCAGTGTATTATTTTAATCTCACATATTGTGATTTTCATTGCTTTATATGTAATTATCTTTTTAGAAAATATGTATTTTCCATATCTCTACTTAACTTTCTAAACATATAGAATTCAGTTAAAATAACTTTTTATGTCAATTTCTGCTCATTTGAATATCTGTGTCATTAGCTAATTTTTTTTCTCATTATAGTTTATATTTGCCTTCTTTTGTCATACCTGAAGATTTTTGTACTTTAAAATATATTTTTTAACTATTTGGTGTTATACAGTTTAGTTACTTAAAAGTTGTTTCTTTTCGGGGTTTTGCTTTTATTATTAATTAGGCAGGAAGTGAGCCATATTTGTTGTAGGACTAATTATTCCTCACTATTTGATCAAGATTTTCCACACACTCTCCCCAATATCCCATGAATCTTTAGACTTTCTAGTGGCTGGTGAGAATATTCCTGGTCAGCCTCAAGCACTGGGCATTATTAGTCATAGTCTTTTCATATGATTCTTTCAGAGGTTTCTGCCAGTTTCCTCACATATATATATATATATATATATATATATATATATTAATATTTTTAGTACACTGCTCAACACTTGAGAAGTACCCACTGAGAACGCCAAAGTTTTATCTGTGTAGTTCTTTCACCTGCATGTATCTTTTTAATGAACTCTAGTCTCAGGATCCCTGTAGTCAGATCTTTCTCCAAGACTCATTAAGTCAGTATAAATTTCTTCTATGCGCTTTCTTTATTCACCATTATCTGCAAATCTTGGGGCACTAATCTGGGATAATCATAGGGATAATTTTTATCATTTTTCCCTTTTCTCTGCCATATTACTTCCCTTTGTTGTTTAAAGTTGAATGTCCTGAAAACTGATATTTTATGTATTTTATTCATTTTATGATTGTCTGTGTTTAATGCACTGCCTTTTTTTTGTTTTATTTTGTTTTTTTGAGATGGAGTTTCACTCTTGTTGTCCAGGCTGGAGTGCCTCAGCCTCCCAAGTAGCTGGGTTACATTACAACATTTAAGTTACAAGCTAAATGTTGTAACTTTAGCCATTTTACTACTCCTAATCTCTGTAGAAGAAAAGCAAAATATGGTAACCCAGGTAACACATACACAAGATTTCTATTTTATTTCATTTTAATATTTGTAATAACTTTGTATCACATCTTATTTTATTCTGTATGGATTTTAAAAGCAGTATAACAGGGTTCCTATTCTTTATTACTTTTTAAGAAAATACATCGAGCAATTTTAATAATTACCTTTTGAGGATTCTCATAGAAGTATGTACCTAATGAAATAAGAAAGTATAATTGGTATTCAGTGCAGGTTTAATTGAATACTTGGCAGATATTCAGCCAATGCTACCTAGAAGAGTTGATTACAGAATTACATTTGAATTGATGATTTTGAGCTCTCAATGGATTAAGACACAGCATGAAAACATTTCACTCATAGGTAATATAAAAAAAAAAGTGCAAAGATGTGAATAATACGTTTGTAAAACCTCAAATAGAATGCTGTTTCTGGATTATAGAGTCATGAAATGTTAATTCAGTATTGAAACAGGCTGAGGTAGCAGACACTGGCAGATTGAAAAAGAGCTTGTATCATAGACACGATACCTGCCATGATCCAATGATTACAGTATGACTTAAATAAAAACATGATGAAAAGTATAATCTTTAAGAAGCTATATTGAGCCTCCAACAGAAGTTAGAACACATAGTTTGTAGATGCTCCTATTATATGTTTTTGAGATTTGGGGTAATACCATTAAGTCATTATGAAAATAGCATCACAAAAGAGAAAACAGGTTGATTTTCAGGATGTGGGCTTTTAAGGGTATGCAAAGATAAGGCAGTGTCCAGGGTTTTGTGGATGATTCTAAAAAAAACTATGAAATGATTAGTCATAAATTTCAGGTTAAACAAAAATACAAATAACACTAGATTATAATAAACTATAGTACAACTAGGAAAATAGAAGATTATTTTCTGCAAGTGGGATAGAAAACCTCAAGATTTTGGAAGCACTTCCCCCACAGAATTACATTAAAAACAAGTTTTCCTTTAAAAAAAAAAAAAAGTCTCCCTACTTACAACTTTCTCACCTGGAAATTAGTTTAATACATTAGCATGCAATATTTATATTGGGGGGGGTGGTAACAATGTATTAATGGATAATTTTTATAAAGATTTAATGCCTAAAATAAATCTTTATGTTCTGGTCTTCTTCAATCCTTTGGTTCTACAAATGATCAGCCTACAAATGCAGAAATGCTTAAAACTTTCATTTCTTCTTTCATGCCACGGATTGTGTGATCTCTGATTCTTACAGCACATAATCATAAATATTGGGATGCTTCCCTCAATTGCCTTTTCTTTTTATGGCCAACACTTGCTCATCCTTCATGTTTCAGCTTTAATTATACATTTTACAAAAGGTCTTTCCACCTTCCTCTGCTATTCTCTCAATCAGATTAGTGTGCTCTCTGCATCACTGGAAAATACCTTAACTTACATTATTAGTTTGATATTACCAAATATACTATTTCTATATTAAGAATGAATATTCAGAGCAACCTTTAGCATACCTTCTGAGAATCACCAATATGTGCATTAATAAACTGTTCATAGATCCTGGGTGAGCAGTAATTGCTTATGACCTCATTAAAAGAATTTTTCTTCAAGGAGGAGCTCTTCCATTGAATGTCTTAATTTTTATTTTTTCAATATCTCTTATAATGCACAGAAAATCAACAGAGATTTCATATTGTGCACCTGCAACTCCTTGAAAATAACCTTCTAATATGTCTATGTAACCTGTGTTTACTCTGCTATAAGTTGCCTAGGAAAAACTTATTATTTGTTTACCGGCAGGGTTGCAAATTGTATATCTATGGTTTTGTTTTGTTTTGTTTTTAAGGCCTGGAATTGGGGAGTTATAAGCCTCCTCAAACACTGCTCTCGAGCATTGCTGCCTGGGGTGTCTCTTATGTGCTCTCTGTTACCGTGGTCAACACCAACATTCTGAATCCACTATTTTCCTATTTTTATTTTTCTTTTGGTTCTGGCTCCCTTCCCCTGTGGTTATATTTACTGCGGAGCATACATCTTTACTGCTGGCAGCTGCTGCATCACGTTGTTATGTTAATGCCTACAGAACTGCAGACAGTGCCAATGCAGAAAAGTGCAGAAGCTGCTCCCCTGTGCCTCTGTTTCTTTGTGGTGTACTGCCATCCACAGTGGTTTAATTCTTCTCCAGCAGCCACCCCAGGATTCTAATGATTCACAGTGATTCTTTAGTGTAATGTATCTTTCAGGTTTTCACTCACTGTTATCTCTCCCAGGAATTCAAACCCATGTCTATAAGAGTTAGAATGAAGAATTAAAACTATCCATTAGTATAGACATTTGCTCATTCAGTTGACTTACTTTTATTAAGTTCCTGTTAAGTGCCAGGTGCACACCCAGACAGTGAGAATATGATGAAGTTACCATTCTTTGCCAAATCAAATGAACAGTCCAGTTTAACAGAAGAGACAAATATTAAAAAAACAAACACATACATGGCCTCAAATATTTACAGATAGCTTATTATCTGCCAGGCATTTGGAATGGAGCAATAAATAAAATTGACTAAGCCACTGCCTTCTTGATTTAGAAGTCTGTGTCCTTATAGAGACAGTTAATATACTCAAATAGTAGTAGCACCATAGTACATGTTGAATCACGGCTAGAATGTAGTTTAAATAGAACATTTTCTTATAAAATACAGCATTTCAACAGAGATGTAAATAATGATAGAAATGGTATTCCAGTCAGAAGACTATCAGGCAATTAAAATAAAACATGTAAATCCATTATAATTATTATATTTTGAGTAGTTCCTCCTCAAGCTTTTTAAATCAGTGTCATAATTTATTAAGGTATTGTATTCTTCTTCCATGTTTAACATTTTTGTTAAAATTGCTATCCTACATTTTTGCCTCTTCATTTCCCTGCCAAAGTTAAAACTACATTCTGGATTAACTTGGACAGCAGAAAGCAAGTAATTTTAATCTTGCATTTTTCTCAATTTAAGATACCAAGTTAGTTACTAGCTATTAAACATGGGTTCAAAAGCATTAAATCTATTTTTTTTTCAAAAATCATTAATTCTTTGGTTGAAGTTGATAGGGATAAGCAAGCTAAACATTCACATTGATTAATCATCAACTATCGCAGTGATTCAATGAATGAAGTAAAGGATAATCATTCTGCACATTTGTAATAGTTAATCAGATTCTCTCAATGCTAAAAAATTCCAATTGAACTCTTTATGAATTGTTTACTTTGAGAAACCGATCATGATTGCATGTGATTATTACAGTAAAGATATATGACACAAGAGACAAATTTACACAAATGTGTTATGATTTATATATCTCATATGAATAAGATTAACTTCCTAGTTTATATAGAACCAAGTAAACTATCCTTGTTTTCTTTTCAGTGCAATATATAGGAACCCTAGGGCTACAAATTAATAATATTTTATTAAGAAGTATTTTGAATATACATATGTGTATGTGTGTGTGTCTATATATATATATATATATATATATATATATACACATATTATATTTTGTTTACCTTTGGAAGTTTAACACTATACAAGCCAAAAAAAAGGTATTACATTTTTGCTATTTATGCATTAAGTAATTGAGTTGTGCATTAAAATTAAGAAAGAAATATTTTTATGCATTTTGAGCTGCCTATGTTTTTAGTGAACAAGACAAGCACTATTTTAGGCTATGGGTTGTGAAATTCCTTTCATTTCTTTATATTTAATAATAATGTGGGTTTGCAAAACCCAACCAAACATTGTATATCTAGAAGTTTGAGATGTTATTCCTTGGGCAATGAGTTATATGCATATTTAGGGTCATGTTAGGCAGATAGAAAATGCATGAAATTAGCTCCAACTCTGACTCAGGAATGTTAAACAAAAAGTTAGTAAGTCCTCAGATAATTTCAAGTAACATAATCTCATATATAATTTCCAATGTTGGCATTACTTTAAAATCATAGATTGTTATCTTTCACTAGGCTGCAAATCATCCTAAAATACAGCAGCATAAGACAAAAACATTTATGTTTCCATTTCTGTCATCAGAAACCTGAAATCTCCTCTTGGTCCTGTGGCACAGGGTTTCTCTCAATGCTGCAAAATCTTGAGATGGATGAATCTGAATTATCTCGAGGTTGATCAGCTATTGCAACAGAAAGGGATAACTCTCATTACTTTGTTTCTTTCCCTTTGTCTTCTTTCTACATGGTCCTTAACAAGGTGATATAATGAAAGTGAATGGTCTTTGCCTAGAGGACTAAAAGATGGAAGATCTGGAAACCAAAAAAATTCTGAAAGATCACAGAGAGGAAAGAGACTTGTAAAGCAAGTAAAAGGTTTTGAACTCCTATGCACAAATTCAGTCTGTGTATGCATGCATCTGATTCTAGTTAGCAAATCGAAGACTTTGTAAAGTGCAAAAAAAAAAAAAATGTATAGCTAACCACCAAGGACCACTGTGTGTTGCTTGGATGAAAAAAAACTAAATAGCTCTTTTGCATCTTTAAAAAATTAACCTTGGAACCATGGACTACAAAAGGTAGGTTAGAAAGTGCAGCCCCACATTGATTGCCTACTAAGGTAAAATATCAGTATTATCCCTAGGTTTAGTAAAATTACTAAAGTCTTCGCCTCTGAGTGATGGATACAATCCAGAATAAAAGAACATAAAAGGAATCATGACAATTTCAACTTGAATTTGAAATAGGAATCAGTGAATATCAATATGATGAATAAAAAAATTGAAATAATTCATTAAAGAACAAAAGAATAATAATTCTTTAATAATTCATTAAAGAATGTAAAGCAGCTTACAAAAATGCTCAAAGATAAAAATATGAACACTCGACATAAATAGAAAAATATGAAATTTCTTTAAATAAAATATTAAAAATCAAAATTTATAGAATTAAAAAGATATAAAAACTGAAATACATATCTAAAACCACTTACCAGGCAGACTCAGTAGCAGAAAGAAGGTGAAGTTATATCAGCAAGATGATAGAATAAAAAGTCCCAGCCCAGGTTCCTTCACAGACAAAGTAAATTAACAAAAATGTACAGACCAAAAAAATCTTTACAGGAATTCTAGGAACGAGTTAAGAATTTGCAGTACGCCAGGGAAATACAGAGCTCAGAATAGCTGCATTGAAATAGGTGAGAAGAGCTGTTTAATTTTATCTACAAGTATCCCTTCCTTCAGCCCACACAGCATAGCTCAGTTTGTGGCTTCTGGACTAGGATGTAGAAAATAGTGAAATAAGCATTCAACATTGTAGCTTTTATATAGGGCTACCCTGAGGGACATGGTTCTGTTTGCCTGACTCCAAGCACTAATGGAACCAACATGGTTTGGATGTCTCCAGGCTGCTGAAAACAAAGGTGAACAAGGGTGCCTTGTCGCAGCATCAGAGGATCTATAGATACCGTGCTACACATGAGACAGTCTACAGGTACAGGTCTACAGATATAGTGCTACAGATAAGGTATAGCTCAGCACAATCTAGAGGAGTCCAACTCGTGGCTTCTGTCATGAAATGGAGGGAGAAGAGTGAAGCATGCATCGGGAATTTGGGTTTTTGGATAGCTTCTCAAGGAACTGAAATGTGTCTTGCCTGATTTGGGAAACTGATGGAGAATTTGCATAATTTATAAGCCTGAGAGGCACTGAGAACAAAGGAGAGAGGTATGCCTTACACTGTAGCATCAGAGAACCTGGAGTAGCACCGACAGACAGCAGAGGGTGGAAAAAATTGTGAGTTCCGGAAAAAAAAAAAAAAAAAAAACAAGGAAACCTCTCTGAGAAATTACACGTGAAAGCTCAGAGAATTTGCATCCCCTCCCCCAAAGGTTATAGTGCCTCCCCAAATATTATTCAAGCTGATAGTTGAAGTTTTTCCCCTGCATAAAGCCAGTCCATAAACACTGGCAGAGGTGGCAGTTGTTTTCAAACATATAAAACTCAGTAAATAAATAAATAAATAATCAGAAGACACACAGAAGAAAAGAGAAACATAGCCCAATCAAAGAAATAAAATGAATCTCCTACAATGAACTCCAACAACACAGACAACAATTGTTTGTGTTACATAGAATTTAAAATAATCATTTTAAAGAAGGTTTATGATCTACAAAAGAACAGATAATTAAATAGAATGAGGAAAGTAATGCATGAACAAAAAGAGAATAGAAAAAAGAAAGAGATAAAAGAAAGGCAATATATAAAAAGGGAATTTATGGAGCTGAACAATAAAATAAAAGTTCACTACATGGCTACAGCTGTAGACTTGAGTAAGCGGAAGAAATAATCAGTAAACTAGAAAACAGGTCATTAAAAATTACTAAGTCAAAAGAGAAAAAATATAATGTGAAGCATGCCTAAAACATATGTGACACCATCAAGCTGACCAAAATATGCATTGTGGGACATCCAGTAGAAGAAAAGAGAAAGGGACAGAGAGCTTATTGGAAAAAAATAATAATAAAAACTCCCCCTAATTGAGAAAGAAAATGGATATCCAAATTCAAGAAACTCAAAGTACTCCAATTAGCATGGCCATAAAAAGACCCACATTGAGACATACTATAATCAACCCATAAAAATAAAAGACAAAGAAAGGATCTTGAAAATAGCAGAGAAAAACAACTTGTCATGTGCAAGAGAACTACTCTTAGATTATCAGTGGGATTTTTAGAAGAAATCTTACAAGTCAAGAGAGTGGAATGAATTATTTAAAATGATGAAAGTACACATTGCCAATTGTCCTGTCAGTCAAAACAAAACAATGCTATACAGTAAACAAAACATACAACAATATAAAGTTTGCTGCTAAAAGTAAATATGTAAAAAAATGGACAATACTGAATGGTGGTGTGTAAAGCACTTTTACTTCTGGAATAGAATTTAAAAGAAAATAGTATGCAAATAATTATAATTATAAAATAATGTTAATGCATACATAATATACCAGGATGTAACTTGTGACATCAATAACACAAAGTGAGAGTGAGGATATGTAAAAAGGTAGAGTTTTTGTATATAATAAAAGCTAATGTGTCAATAGCTGAAAATAGATTGTCATAACTATAAATGTTTGATATAAGCACGCTGGTAATCAAAAAGAAAATACCATGTAAGATATACAAAATAAAGTGAGAAAGAAAATAACTGTAAGATAGATAGAAAATGACTTAATTTATTTCTTTAATTTATTATTAAGTATTATTTAATTCTACAGCTTTTGATTTTTAAAATAATTTAAGAATTTTGCTGAAGTAATTACTTTAATTTTAAATATCTTAAACTTCCTAATCAAGAGACATAAAGTGACTATATGCATTTAAAATATGTAGAACCAAATGCTTTTTACAAAAGACTCACCTTAGTTGTCAAGGCATACAGAAACCTAAAGTAAAAGAATGAGAAATATTTTCCACAAGAGAGCAGCAGTAGCTATAGACATATCAGATAAAATAGACTTAAAACAAAAACAACCTATAATGATAAAAAGGTCAATTTACAGGAAGATACAATAATTTTAAGCATATACGCATGTAATAACAGAGCACCCAAATATATGAAATGAACATTGACAGAATTAAAGGGGAAAATAGACAGTAACACAAAAATAGTAGAAAATTAGATCCAGAGCAGAGGATGTTTCACCCTGAAGTAAGCCTATTCTTAGGAGGAGACATAAAGAGAAGTTGTACCTAAGCTCACAGTGAGGGTGGGTCAAAGTACAAGGCCTGCAGAAAGGAGAGAATCTTAAGAAAAATTTGGTTAACAAAGATATTGTTCTGGTCACTGAAGATAAAATTGTTCATTTGACTGTTTAAGGGAGAAAAAGGGGAATTTTCAAAGTCTGTGTCTGGCTTTATGTTAGGTACAAATGGGAAGGGTGTCTTTTTGCAGTAAGCTGCTTTTGGAGTGCACAACTGATGGGGGATTTTCTTAATCATCCTGTTTAACAGGATTACCTATTCATACCATCTTTCCTTGCCATTTTTCCTTGGCATATACAGCTCTTCCATTTGGCTGCTCCTGAGTTTATAATAAACTGGTGAAAGTAAGTAAAGTTAATAATAAAACGACAACAGCAACAAGTGATGTTTGGAAAACTGAATATCCACGTGCAAAATATGGACATGGGTCTTATTTTACAATATATACACATTAACTCAAATATTTATGCATAAGGCCTAAAACTATAAAACCCCTCGAAGAAAACATTGGAGAAAAGTTTCAGGGCATTAGAAGGATAAATGAAACCAAAAGCTTAGGTAAAAAAAGACTAAAATAGACAAATCGGACTATATTAAACTTAAAATCTTATGTGCAGCAAAGAAAATAATAAAATGAAAAGGCAAACAACATAATACAAGAAAATATTTGCAAAGCATATATTGGGTATAGTGTTAATATCCACAATATATAAAAACTTCTACAATCACCGAATTTGAAAAGACCTCCTTAAACTTAATATGGAACCAAGAAAGAACCCACATAGACAAGACAATCCTAAGCAAAAAAAAAAAAAAAAAAAAAAAAGCTAGAGGCATCATGCCACCTGAGTTCAAACTATACTACAACGCTACAGTAATCAAAACAACATTGTGCTGGTACCAAAACAGAGGTATAGACCAATGGAACAGATCAGAGGCCTCAGAAATAACACCACACATCTACAACCATCTGAACTTTGACAAACCTGACAAAAACAAGCACTGGAGAAAGGATTCCCTATTTAATAACTGGTGTTGGGAAAACTGGCTAGCCATGTGCAGAAAGCTGAAGCTAGATCCCCTCTCTATACCTTACACAAAAATTAACTCCAGATGGATGAAATATTTAAACATAAGTCCTAACACTATAAAAACCCTAGAAGAAAACCTAAGCAATACCATTCAGGACATAGGCATGGGCAAGGACTTCATGACTAAAACATCAAAGCAATAGCAATAAAAACCAAAATTGACAAATGGGATCTAATTAAACATAAGAGCTTCTGCACAGCAAAAGAAACTATCACTAGAGTGAACTGGCAATCAACAGAATGGGAAAAAATTTTGCAATCTACCAATCTGACACAGGGATAACATCCAGAATCTATAAAGGACTTAAACAAATTTACAGGAAAAAAACAAACAACCCCATCAAAATGTGGGCAAAGAATATGAACAGACAGTTCTCAAAAGAAGACATTTATGCAGCCAACAAATATATGAAGAAAAACCCTCATCATCACTATTCATTAGAGAAATGCAAATCAAAACCACATTGAGATACCATCTCATGCCAGTTAGAATGGGGATCACTAAAAAGTCAGGAGACAACAGATGCTCGAGAGGATGTAAAGAAATAGGAGCATGTTTACACTGTTGGTGGGAGTGTAAATTAGCTCAACCATTATGGAAGATAGTGTGGTGATTCCTCGAGGATCTAGAAATAGAAATACCATTTGATCCAGGAATCTCATTACTGGGTATATACTCAAAGGATTATGAATCATTCTATTACAAAGACACATGCACATGTATGTTTATTGTGGTACTGTTGACAATAGCAAAGACTTGGAAGCAACCCAAATGTGCATTAATGATAGACTGGATAAAGAAAATGTGGCACATATATACCATGGAATACTATGCAGCCATCAAAAAGGATGAGTTCGTGTCCTTTGCAGGAACATGGATGAAGCTGGAAACCATTGTTCTCAGCAAGCTGACAGAAGAACAGAAAACCAAACACTGCATGTTCTCACTCATAAGTGGGTGTTGAACAATGAGAACACATAGGCACAGGGGGCAACATCACACACTGGGGCCTGTCCGGGGGTGAGGAGCTAGGGGAGAGATGGCAGGGCTGGGGGAATTGGGGAGAGTGGCATTAGTAGAAATACCTAATGTAGATGATGGGGTGATGGATGCAGCAAACCTCCATGGCATGTGTCTACCTAAGTAACAAACCTGCACATTCTGCACACGTACGCCCAGAATTTAAAGAATAATAAATATATTTTTTAAAAAACCCAATTAAGAAATGTGCAAAGTACTTGAGATTTTTCTCTAAAGAAGATGTAAAAATGGCCAAAGGTGTATGAAAAGATGATCAAAATCATAATCAAATAATTGCAAATTAAGTCCACAGTGAGATATCAGTTCACATCTGTTAGGATAGCTGCTATCAAATGAAAACAATGACAAATGGAAAACAAAATGTGATAAGAATCTGAAGAAACTGGGACTCTTGCACACTGTTTGTGAAATTGTAAAGCAATATAGCCACTATGATAACAGCATGAAAGTTCCTCAAAAAATAAAAATAAAACTACTGTATGCCTCAGCACTTCCACTTCTTCTTTTTTCCTGTCTTTTCTTTGTGTATGTGTGTGTGAGAGAGAGATGGAGTTACTCTCTGTCGCCCAGGCTAGAGGGCAGTAGTGCTATATTGGCTCACTACAACCTCTGCCTCCAGGGTTCAAGCAAATGTCTTGTCTCAGCCTCCCTAAGTAGCTGGGACTACAGGGGCATGCCGCAACAGGATAATTTTTTTTTTTTTTTTGTATTTTTAGTAGAGAGGGTGTTTCACCTATTGGTCTGGCTGGTCTCGAACCCCTGACCTCAGATTATCCACCTGCCTTAGCCTCCCAAAATGCCGGGATTACAGGTGTGAGCCACCA